GACTTTGAGTGCGAACCACGGCAAAACGGATTACACTACGCTAAACTACAGTTTATTCTCTATCGATGTATGTATACCGCAGTTCACCAGAGTCCATAACTGCGACGCGCAGGTTGGAAGATGGTGGGGGAACGCAGCGAACTCTCCGCCAATCGCTTTCCACTTCGTTTGGGAGTATCGCCAATCAGGGCGAAGATGCGCACTGGAGATGCGCGAAGAACGAAAACTGGTCTTTTCGCAGTTATGGACTCTGGTGAACTGCGGTATAAATAGTTTTTCAATTTTCGATTTCACGAAAATCGACTTTTGATCGCCGAAAGCCGTTTTGTCCCACTGTGCGTCGGTGTAATAGGATTTGTTGTTCATGAGCAACCAATAATTCGATACTATTATTCCTTTCTGTTTTTAATTTATTATTCGATACAATTTTCGTCCAGCGAATCCTATTATACCGATGCGGTGCTGATGGACTTGATCACGACCACGGTTTGAACGCAGAGCATATCCAACACTCTCGCGGTTCGGCCCGCGTTTTGATTGGCCAGTGTTTTTCAAAGGAACATTTTGGCAAAGGAAAAAGTTGTTTAGAATGACCTCAGCAATCGTCCCTCCACGGGTCCTACCCCAGTTCTGGGACACCCTGTATATATGTATATGTATTTTTCTAATATTCTAAGTGTAATTAAATTGTATAATAAAACGTATAAAAAGAACATTCTAAGAAAGAGTAGCACTAGCATGCTTGAAAATCTGTGTGAAAGTTAAATCGCTCACTTGGCAATACAACGAGGACCCACTGTACATTCTTATCGTTCAATGCATTCGTTAAAGTAATTACTATCAGCTCCTCGGTGGCTGATAACGTGGAAGGTGTTTGTACTGGATTTTATTCGTTGCTCAAACTGTTTGTTCACATACCTCGTATAGATATGATTATTTGATATTGGTATTATGATTCGTTACCTACAAGATGCTCCGTTAAAATTGATCCACAATCTACGTGAATAGCATTGGACCTATCAACGGTTTCTCAAAAATTTAATGGAAAGAATTTTCGTAAAACGTAATTTTACCTGGAAATACGTGGGGAAAAACGTCCTTTTGTAAATTATTTATTTAGAAAAGAAAATAGTAATTTTTCGGGGTCGCTATTTTTGTAGCTGTAATTTTAACTATTGCTTATCTGAAAATAATTATCGTTTATAAACAATTGAAAAGAGAAGGTCAAAAGATTTTATCTGTATACGACTTTATCTTCTGTTGTGACCAGTTTCTATAATTAGGGAACAACAATTATTTAACTAGAAACTCCTAAGTCAGTTTTTAAAAATTAAAAATCGCACGTATGGAGTACATATTTACAATAACTTTCAAAGTATTAAGGTGAAACTGTTAAAAAGTGAATATTTCTTCACATTTTGTATTCTTATTATCGAATACGATAATTATAAAAAGAATTCCGAATACTTTGTAGTGAAAGTAGTTAAATCGTTACATTATGTGTTTTTGTGTGTATAAATCTTTTTAACACGTTTTAGGTAACGCTGAATCTGTAAAATGAGTTGAATTCAACTTTTGGGGTAATTCATGAATAATTCAATAAATAATTGTTTATTATGATAATAAAATATTATTTATTATTTATTTTTTAGCATTTTGATCAACAGATACTTCTAATACTGCCCTCCATATTGTTACTTAAAATATCCTATCTTTTACTTCATTTTTTGATTGGTATTCGAAACATGTTATACATATTAGATTATTTCCGTAATACGAGAAAAATTATCGTACAGCGCGATTTCCTATAACGCGAATTCATTAAAGGTGTGCGAGTACTCGAATTTTAAACAATGATCGGTCGGTCGAGCCGAATCGAACGCTTGAATTTGCTGAATTACTCGAAATCGACGAACTGTTTGAAACAAAGGCGAACTACTCGAATATTCGAGCTGAAAATTCATCTTCAAGTAAATCAAAGTTTCACAACGACTCGAATATTCGAGTAATTCGAGTATGTCGAGTAGCTCGCTTTTGTTTCAAACAGTTCGTCGATTTCGAGTAATTCGGCAAATTCAAGCGCTCGACTCGGCTCGAACAATCGAGTTCAGCTCGGCTTGTAAATTCCGAGTACTCGGACACCTCTAGTACCTATGTAATTCACTCTGACGATTCGATCCGAGTATCGGGTACTCGAATATATCGAGTTTTCGACCATCTATACTTTCGAGAACCCGAGTCGACCCAACCGAACGTAATATGTATGTATTTTTGAGTTCTCATTCTCGCACACCTCTAGTAGAAATGTTCGTTTAGGCTATTTAATTTTATTAGTTTAATTACAAAGGTATTTTAGAAAAATTTTCAAATTTGATTTTCTTGAAAAAAATAAATAGCTTCATATGAACAAATTTTATTTCATGATTTTGCCTTATTGTTTTATGTAACCGTATTGCCTTTGACATTATACTGCAAGTTACATAACATCCTATACAGTTTTAACAATTCACACTATTTAAATGTATTAAAATAAATTCTTGAGAGTTAATTCAAAATCTTCTTACATGGATCTCTGAATGCACTGCTGACGATGCATACTGCACGATAAGCAGTCTCTTTGTGTATCATTCATATAAGATATTCGATTGATTGTTGACCTTCTTGAAAGAGAAAGTTACATACAATTACCAAGTCTATCTATAGAACGTCTGCAGTTATGACAGATAGAAATGTGTTTGACGTAAAATTCTTCGGCTTTACATTTGTTTTTACCATTTAATAACTTATTTCAGATGTAATTAGTAATTACTCTTTCAGATAAGATAAATAACCTCGCTGACCGACATACATATAAGAATGTGATTATTTAAAAATAATTATTTTTTATTGACATACTTGCATAAAAAATTGATTATGGAAAGTGTTGATCTCTTTACTTTTCTAAATACACAGTTAAGTTTTCAAGTATAATGTAAATGTTCACCCAGTGCCGGTTTTAGCAATATTGGCGCCCTGGGCAAGATTATCCACGCAACGTGTGCACCTTTATAACTTCCAAAATATGCGTTGCACGAAAAAATGTTATATACAAAAGTTACATGGTTTAATAGGGTACACTATGTAGTGTGTTAATTTTTTTTACAGATGAAGGCGTTTCGGAGATTTGAAGGACTACTTTGTTTTTTTAAATAGAATACTATATTTTTTATACAAAAATGTTATAGAGTATCGAATTCTGAGTAAAAAAGTATTGACCTTTATTAGCCCTAAACCTAATAGGTAACGAGTTATTTCACTTTATAACTTGAAAATTTTCTTCACGTAATATCAAGTTGGAGATTCAACTTTATCACAGATTTCCGCAGGACAACGATGTTTACGTGACAGTGTGGCTTATCGTAACTAACGTAAGCGTTCAAAGTGATATCCATTGCCATTAAGGATATTACTTAATATTACTTGATAATATTAAAAAAATTTCAAGTTATAAAGTGAAATAACTCGTTACCTATTAGGTTTAGGGGCTAATAAAGGTCAACACCTTTTTACTCAGAATTCGATACTCTACAACATTTTTGTATAAAAAATATAGTATTCTATTTAAAAAAACAAAGTAGTCCTTCAAATCTCCGAAACGCCTCCATCTGTAAAAAAAATTAACACACTACATAGTGTACCCTTTTAAACCATGTAACTTTTGTATATAACATTTTTTCATGCAACGCATATTTTGGAAGTTATAAAGGTGCACACGTTGCGTGGACCAGCCGGTATATGTATATAAGTAAAAAACGCGTCAGGAAAGATGTAGACGTAAATGCCGCAGCATATATAGCATATATGTAACATTACATATGAGATGTAAATAGAGTGAAGAGACAATGAGAAAATATCGGTATATTCGCATACTAGGGGCTGCGGCGCAGAGGCTAGGATCTAGCGCCCTGGGCGATTGCCCGACCGCCCCTCCCAACGCCGGCACTGTTTCCACCAGAAAATTAGTAGTAAATATTACATTTGGCTATACGATAGCTATACAGGGTGGCAAATTTGAAACGTGACAGATCGAATATTTCGAAAGGGCATTTTTCGGGGGCCGAAAAATTGATTTTATTTTTATTTTTTTATTTGATAATAGACGATATTTGGAGTCAGATTCTATAATTAAAACAATTTTTCGGGTGCTATAAGCGGGTGAAAAATACTCACAATGTTAGGTCCGACGCGACGTGTGAATTGATAGAGGCAGAATTTTAGAAAAATGCTTTCCCTGTAAAATCACGTTTTTTGATACTCACGTTCCTTTCTCTCAGTAATCATTCGACTGATCAAGTTGCACTTTTGTCTGCTTTTACTATTAAGGGCAACACGTATTTTAGCGAAAGGCTTTTCCAAAATTCGACTTACAGTCAGATTAACAGCATCTTCCATATTGAAGGTAAGAGTATAAAAAGGTCCACAAATTGAAAACCAGTCAAAGAGGGACATTAGATCGAATCTAAAAAGATGGATTAGTACTACTATCCAAGGTCTACTAAATGCAGTTGTGGGTGTGGCGCTACCTATATGTAATAGTTTTTGAGAAAATGGTCTCCAAAATGCTTCTTCAGCCATTTTTATTCAAATGGAACCCAATAAAGAATTATAACCATTCCTAAGCCCTAGGCCGAGGTACCGGTACCCCATATGATTTTCCTTGGCGCTCTTTGTACATTATATATAATTCAATAATATAATTTTAATAAGACTTTTCAAGTAATCAAAACTGTTTTAATGATACTTTTAATGATTGCAGCTACGTAATAGAATTTTGTATAGTTTTGAATTTAATAATTTTAACTATCATTTTTACTATTATTAACTATTATTATTAATTTTAATAATTTTAATCAGAATATTTAAGATGAAAATTGATATATTATTTAATCTCCTAAAATTCAGCATACGTATATTTTCGATGTGAAAATCGAAATCATTTGATTAAGTGTAAGAAAAACTGTCCTAGAAGTTTTGAACGGTTATGTATGTTCGCACATGTCAGCTTCTGAAAGGTAAACTTAGAAAACGGTGAAAGCATGAAAAGAAATACGAGAGGATAGCGAATAGAGCCATGCGCAGGTATGCGTCATCGAAACGGACCTTTACACCCCTACGGTTTCAACATCTTTCGCTTTCGAATCCAATCTACCTCCGTTTCCTCTGCTGGTAGCATTCACAAACGTTTCGTAATGCCGATCGACCGCGATTTCCACCCTCTGTATAAATAACCATCGATGTGCTCAAGGGTGCAGGTTGTTCAGGTATACAGGTGTCCTCTGAAAGCGGAAAATGACAGTTTTTCATAGTTATAATCAAAATTTTACTAATCCAGCTGCTGAATAGTTGAAAACATATTGTTTATAATTAATATTTTACTAACATTTTATATTATAAAATGATATAAAAATTAGTAATATTAATATGTATTGATTTTTGAATTTAAATTAATTCGGGTATTATAATATCATAAATCAATTATGTTATAATTTATAATAATACTTTGTTCAATGATAAATAGTCCTTTTGTTAAAATTCATCACAAATGTTTCTCGTTTTGCTGAATATTCATGTAATAAAAAATTTAAATTTAAGGACTGTGACCAAATTCGACTTCTTTTTTGGCCCTTTTCAAACCGTTTATTGTAAACACATAAATCTATAATAATAAGTTAAACATTATAATTAGAAAGTCAAAATTGGTATAGAGAAACAAAACATCCCAAACATTGCATTGTATTTTAAACATGACATCCTAATATAAGATGTTTACTATTAAACTTCGTTTAATTTTCCAATTTGACTAAAAATATTAAAAATGTTGATCAGATTCAATGATCAGAAGCAATAGATGTTTTTAAAATCTTACAATTTTTACATATCGTCGGTTTGCCAGAAATAATGACGACTCAAAAATCATCAATTTAGAGATACCTAGGAAAATAAATTCTAAAAATAAACTCCGTTTATCTGGAAGAATGTCATTAACATTAAGAAAAAAGATAATAAAAAGTAAATAAATATATATTACTTTTAATAAACAAAGGGAAGGCCAAAAATATTCAATGAAAAACAATAAAGTAGTAAATAAATTACAAAAAAAAAAAAAATTTTAAGCTGCTCTCCTCAGGAATGAACATTTTTTATTTAAGTCACGCTTCTGGTAAACTGACGATATATGAAGAATATTTTACCCCATACGGTTTTCCGTCTTTCGACTACCCATCCATCCCTTTCATTGTCGCCATAGAAACATTCATATATTTCATAACACAGGTCCCTTTTAACCCCAGATTAATAAACATACACGTATACCTGTATAGCTAGGAACAGGTCAAGCACACAGGTGTCCTCGTAGGGCAGAAAGGTCTGGGGATGGATGTTATGTACGTCATCGGTGATGCGTATGCGTCTCGAAAATGGGACTTCTGGAGTCTGACCCCCTATACGACCCTCCCTTTTCAGGACCCCAACAACCATGAACAGGGGCTGGACGAACGTATGTATCGCCCTATCTTCTTTCTCGTCGGAGTTTCCCCTTCTGTCTCCACTTTTTTTTTTTGCTGCTGCACCCCCATCCATTCGGCCTGAATCTGGGGACGAAAGCCGCAGGTGCTGCATCCTATAAAACCCTCATAAGATTGGGCCCCAGTGGCGTGGGCATTTTCAAGAAATACTCGTTTTGGAAACTGAAATTATTCTGGTCTTCTGAATAATTGCTTATAGTCATCTTGGAATGAATGCTTAATTTAAGTAATATTATTAATAATTCTATTATTTGAGGTTGAAAGATTATATAGTTTTTGTATTAAATAAACTACTAAAATCATAAAGTTTGTTAATGAAATTTTCCTTTTTATATTTTTCTTGCTTTGTAAACAAAATTGTAGAAAAATATTTGCGAATATTATTTAACATAATTACTAGTAATTAACAATATAAAAATTGAAGAGAGGAAATGTTAATATTGCTAGAAAAGTTTTGAAAATATTCAAATATTTTATGCAATCTATACCAATAAATTAGTTGTATATCCTTTCTTAATTCTCAAACGGTGGACCACGGAAATAGCCCCAATTTTAATTTAATTTCGTATTTCATATTATTTTCAAATTCTACATTTTACACTGCATCTTTGAAAATTATTCTTCCAACATATGGAACTTTTTCGTTAAAAAATAACATATTGCACCACGATTGACTCAGACTCCGCTGTAAAAGGATTGAAAGATGAAAAATTCCAAACTATTACCTTAAGTCTGCTACAATAAATCCATAAGAGTTGCTGCTGTAACTTGTTACATTATTCAAAAACCTGCAACGACGCGTATTCGAGTGTCATTCGGAGTTGCCGTACGCCGAAAGTGCCACTCCAATTTACATACCGTGTCCAAGACTCCGAGGAAGAAAAGAAAATTACCGTGGTGTGTCAATCATGGTTCCACGCCCATGTCGGAGCGTCCCAAGCGTGTTTAGGGATGCGACGCACATGTACGAGGCGTGTTTGAAAAACTATTGACCAGCTCTTCCTTATGCTGCCTCTCCATTTCTCCATGGAAATTGATTAAAAGCCCGCACGAAACGCTGAGGAACGTAGAATTTTTCTCGAAGCGATTTCCACCAAGGTCTCGACACTTTCATCAAAGAAACCCTCTTTGATATGAAAAAAAAAAAAAAAAAAAAAAAAAAAAACGTGGAAGAGGGCTGGGGATTTCATGCAGACGTGGATTGATGTAATGCCTTTCAAAAGATTTCAAGGCTGGGGCGTCTTTCCCACGACCACAACGAACCCCAAGCGACCGTTGAAGGACCTGCAACGTCTACGGGGGTGGGCAGGTCGGTTTTCACATGTGGCTCGCGAAAAAAAGGCCCTCGAAGGATCGTTAAGGGGTCACGGGTCGACGTTCTGGCTGACTTATGGAACACTTGCTTGCGATCAGCTCCCATTCTTCCAATTAGACCTGATATTTGTCCCCGACCGACAGCTTTTCCTATCTTTCGAAACCGGTTTCCTTTTGGGACCCCATTGCACATACAAATGAGCCATGAAGGTTTTCAGCCTAATGGAAACAACTTTGTTTCCTTATTTCTGTCTCTTCTCTTAATTCGGTTACTGATTGGGAAATAAAATTAGTCGTGTTCTGTCAAGCTGCAGGGGTATACCTGCTTTTTTCTAGTTTTTTAAATTTGAAGTGTAGAGGAGAAGGTACGAACATGAGATGGGGTAGAAATGTGAAATATTAAAGTTTTAACAATGATTGTATTAGGTGTAGAAATTAATTCGGTGCCTTTAGCATTACTTTTACAATAGATTAACATACACATACGAAGCGTCTAAGGCGTCGCTAACAACCTTGCAGTTAAACACCTATATATAAAAAAAAAAAAAAAATATTTTCCCGCGCTTCCAGGAACTTGAAAAGTGGCGCGAAGATTTGATAATCGTTTATAATCGTTTAAAGCAGATTTTTTTAGTAAAAATAGATTTCTCGTTTTTAAAATGTTGCCATTTCTATAATTATCAAAATTATTTTCAATCCTAACGCTAGTTTGTGGGTGATACTTTCTTGTTTGTAAATCAAACAGAATTTTTCATTTTAGGCATTCCAGTTTTTACTTCGGAGTTTCGGAGTTAATGAATAACTTTGCCATTTTGCAATATTTCTAATTCGAAAAATTAGAAAATGAAGTCGAAAGTTATATATATATAACTGTGTGTTTAAAAAAATGTAAGTTTTTCACGTGGTCATTATTTATAAACGAATTCCACAAGAAGGGCGATTTTTCGACACTATCTGCCAGGTATACCCCTTTAAAAAAATCGTCATCAAAACATTATTTTAATAACTTTCCATAAAATTTATGCACTGTAACCACCTTATGCGCCACCACCTTACTTAGGATCTTACTTAGGATTTTAAAATATGATTTACATAAGGAATTAATTATGGTTTACATCATCAAAATATTAATTGAATTCGTGAAAAAATAAAACAAAAGTTGATGATTTAATTTTTGAATCAACAATACAAAGGGACCACGAGGACTTCATGGATTCAAAACCGTAGATTTCGTAAGATAATCAATTATAAAGTTATCTGTGATGGATATTTTTACGTTACAAGCAGTACTGTACACGGACAGAAAGCGATGACCATTAATTGCAATGATTGAGCCGAGATAATGGCGTGTTCATGATGGTATTCGATAAAGATCTCGTTAGAGGAGTGTGAAATTAGCGACGAAAGGGGTCAGAGTGTCGTCGCTAGAAGATGAACGGACACACGTAAACTGTGTAATCGGCTCGAGGATTTTAATCACCTCGCCGTTTCCTTCGGCATTACCAGAATACGAAAAGGCTTTATCAATGCGAAAACGTGATTTCCACTTAATGCCACAAATCCCTCCTATCAGCTTGGTTAAAATTGAATTACACGGTCCAATAAGCTGAAAGATTAAGATCAGGGATTCCTCTTAAAGATCTGATCACGAAGATTATTTGTTTAAGAATTAAATAGCAGTATAGGTAATTTACGTGTTTGTAGCACGTGTGTTTAACGTTACCATGATTATCATCATTTTAGTAGGTATTTTAATCTTTTTTCATTTAACTCGACTTACGAGGCAATTTAGCAATGTAATGAACGTAAGTATAATATTGAGCATGGTAGACTTCCTTAAGGAAAATGATGGTATATGTTAAATTTTGCAATATTTAATTAACTTTCTTGTTCTTTTTATTTTGTCACGAATATTTTCAAAATTAGTAATTTGAGAGTTATCATTTTTTTATTTAATTATTCGCGATATACTGGAAAAAGGACGTGAATAATTAAACGAAGAAACAATTTTTAAAAATATTAATAGTGGGATAAATTTTTTAAAAATTATCACTGATTGGAATTATTAAATATTGCAAAATTTAACATATAAACTTCAAAAATTTCAAATTACTCACTAGAGAATCAGAACACAGCATTGACCTTGCAATCTTTAAAAGAAATAATCTATGATATCTATGACACCCTCGCTAACATATAATTTTTGTTAATAAACTTATATTGACAAATAATCAGGTGGCCCAAAACTTATCATTGGTAATGCAAGAAAATACAATTTTGATCAGATAATGTGTTCTTTTCATAATAATAATAAACTATTTAATATTAAATAGAATTCAATTTTTAGTCCACTTCAAACTTCTCCACACTATTTATTATAATCAAGTGTAGCAAGTTACATGAAGATTATTTTATTAAAACAATTTATCATTTCATGTTTAATAAGAGCCAAAGTAATATGAAGTAAATTTTTTTTTCCAAAGATGGATTTGATCTGTACTTTCATAATAAACCATTGAATTTATGCAGTGATGGCATTAATTATTCACTTTATCTGTGATTGGCAGGTAAAATGTTAATATTTTCAGAAACATTTACAATGTAATAAAAGTATTAAGTGTACAAATGACTTTGATGGCTTGAAAATTACGCTTTTGTATATTTAAAAAATGGCACAAGAACAGATTAATGAGTTCCTCTGACATAATGTACATTCCTTTTTAATCTCAACTTCTCTATTTAGTAGGTCCACAAATTAATTTGCTACCTTAATTACTATTTGAATAATGGCCCGGGAATACGATAACAATAACGATTACTTAATTACAAAAATAAATCTTGAAAGTAAAAAAATTGTATACTTATTATTAACTTCCCTTATGATTAAATAAATTTGACGGAAATATAATTTAAAGTATTAAAAATTATTAATCTCAAATTTTTTATCAATACTACATATTTCAGTCAAAAAGTTCTCAAACTGCATCATTTTTAGCAACATGAAGACATTGTGCGATATAGCCATCATTTGTAAATTAATTTCTATCAAGTTTGTATAAAAAGGTCATTCCTTTCATCGGTTATAGTGATTCACGATCTTTGATAAAATTAAGGACGCCTTTGTCGACATTTATAACTGATACCACTTTTATATTCATTCACGAAAACAGTCATGAATACAAAATACTATTTCTTCTCGTTGTCTGCAGAGACAGGATGCTTTCGCATCGTCGTCACGGTGTTTCACTTGATTCCACATCCTCCCATACGTATGCATTAACGAGTTAACCCAAATACGAGTGCATAACATCGCATAAACCCATTGATCTGTTTTCTTACTCCAAATTCGATGCGTGTATTTGACTTTTTAAACAGCGAAAGTCCGGCTGCTGACTCTCTGACCCTCGATCGAAAAGGTGTTTTTTAAGAGCCGTCGACGAGACGATACGGTCGCCACGAATAATTCCACTCTGCCAAGCAGTGGCGTAACGCAATCAATCTTATTCGTCGCATTCCTTATAACTTTCAAAATAGGACGGTACAAAATTTATCGTGTTTTCGAGCAATAAAATTTTAATAGAAAATTTGGTAAATCTTGAGAAATTTTGAATATATAATTATTTATCAAAACTCTGGAATATAATTCTGGGTTCTGTATATTAATGAAAGAATTTCTGAGGATACGTAAATAAATAATTCTATAATTAATTATAGAAAAAATTATAGAGAAACTGCTTGGTAATTTTGCTGTATTGATACAAATTTAAAATAAAGTTACTGTTTGCAGGATTTTAGAAAATTATCAAGTTTATGGTTCTCCAAC